ATCTTATCCAAAATATACCTTGAAAATCAGCTTAATGTCCTGCTTCTGAAAGGTCACAGGCTGGCAAAGTAGCTATTCTATTCAACAAACCTGAAATACTCACTATCTAAGTTTAGTGGCAACTAACTACAATAAAATAGATTTGAGACTAATAGTTTCAGCTACAGAATACATATTTTATTAGTCACAAAACCTCTCTCATTGCCATGACTAGTTGGAACAGGCATGCTGCTGACCTTCCAGTGGGTTTCTGAGGCTGTGAATAAAATGCAAGTCACCCAAGGAAATTTCTGCCAAGGAATTGCTAGAGGATTCAAATTTCCAGAGAGAATGGGACTTTTGCTAGCAGTGAAACTCCTTGAAGACTATATCTAGTCACAGAGGAAGTGTTTAATATCACTTTTCACAGAGTATTGAAAATAAGTCACATTAGAGATTGAAAGGAAGTAGGGGGATAAAGTCAAATGAAGGTTAGTCAGCAGAACACTGATATCTTTTGCTTCATGTTTTCCAGAACCCGTTTACTTCCAAGCAAGCCCTTTTCCTAGGCTGTTGAGATGAGTCCTCCCCTGTATAAAGGTTATGTCCTTAAGTAAAAGATTAAAACTAAATTGAAGCGGAAACTTGGCCCCAAACCATACTGTTTTGTGCCCTGAGGAACTGGAATTAATTTGAGGCAAACTATTACTCATTCTGATTATATGTCAGTAGGAAAGACACAATTATATTGTCAACAGAGCCATCCTTTTCATGCACTTGCCCTCCACATCAATGACCAGGAATCCTGGGCTTTGCTTGGAGTAAAACAGTCAGTCAGGCATGCACTCATGTACTTTTGTTAAATGTCTACTCTGGTCTCCATGACACATGGCTTGCATTTTCCCTACAACAAAGGAGCCCAGAGGCTTCTCTTACAGGAGTACTTCACGGGTGGGTGTGGTGGTAGGAAGTTGGAGGTGAAGTGCATTTCTGTTAGTGAATCATATTTTCCCGTGTGCGTCTGTTACAGTGTAAGAGATGCTTGGTAAGGGGTATAGTGAATATTGGTTTAAGACAGAAAGAATTCTCATTTTGAAAACAGATGTTAATGTCTCCAGAATTAAAAAGACAGAAAAGGGATATTTTGCCTTTTGTCTTGTTAATGTTATGTACCTTTGAGTCAGAAGCAACTCAAAGCTGGCATTCCAGTGAGTATCCTTAGGCTGTAAATTACAGGGGAGGAAACTTCCAAGCTTTGTTCTATGGAGCAGCTGGTGGATTGGAATCACAAACCTTTGGTTTGGCAGTGCAACTACCTACCACTAAGCCACCAGAGGCAACTTTTACCATATTATACTAAAAATCGAAAAGATTTTTCTGAGACCTAAGAAGAAATTCCAGAATCCACACTCTCTTGAGCTCAGAAGCTTCTAACAATGACTTTTGTGTTCGTGCAACTCATAACCCATGAGGAAGATTAGGTTTCTTCCATTTTTCCTGTCTGATTCTCTCTCTTGCATCATAAATATTACCGTTTCAGCCCTCTGGGCTTTAGCTGTTTCTTTTGAAATATATTTGGAAAGTAATCTTTGTTGCCATTTATTATATGAAGATTGATTCTCATCTTAAAGTTGCTAATGTGCTAATTTTTTTCCTAAGTTTCTTCTTTCTGGTCAAGGAAGGCTGAGATAGCCTCAAAATGAGGTAGATTTAATTGATTTCATAATTTACAGCCTTTGTTAGTCAAGATTCCAAAAGGAAAGGGGGTGGTCCTTTTAGCTCAGCACGACTAGAAGGAGCCTTTCTTTTGCAGTGAAAAAAGTCTCTGTTATTAGGCAGAAAAGAAAAGAATGTTTGGCAGGACTCTACTCCCAATGGGTCAAACATCACAGGAAATTGAAAAATTGTTTCTTTTCAGCCTTATGGGAAATTTTTGTGAGTGAAGGTCTGCTGCTTAAGTCTAACAACAAAGAACTGGTGAGCTTGGGACAACTTCTAGGTGGGAGGCTTCAATCTGGCCTTTCTGTGGCTGGGCCTAGTAAATTTTCACCTACTCGGGGAGGTTTTTTATGTTAATGACTGTGTTACTGTTTGAGAGACCATGGAAATACTGTAAAGAATTAAGAGTAAGTTAATAAAAAATGTGCCTCATTTAGGTGCCTTCCATTCTGAAAAGAGTGAAGTAGACCATCCAGTTTTGCTTCTACCACTATGTGGTGAGCTGCAGACTTTGAAGAATCCAGTCTTGGTATTAGAGCAATGTCGTGAACTCAAGATCATCTTGCCAACCTCCCTCTTACATTTTCTCTGCTTGGACATCTGATCCGAGGCCTGGGTCTTAAACCACCACTCTTAGTTCCTTGCTTCCACTTCTGTAATCTTAAATTCCTTGGGTACTTTATTGGTAGCATAATCATGTCCTTCGTTGTTGAATCCCAAAGCTTCCTTTGTTTCTGCTCTACTTGCAATCAATCAGTTATCAAGCTTTTTGATTCTTCTGTGGGAGCCTGTGAATGTTGCACCCAGTTAACACATTTGGCTGCTAGCCAGAAGATTGAGGGTTTGCATCTGCCCCATAGGATCTTAAAAGAGAAGCCTGTGGATCTGCTTTGGAAAGTCAGTTGTGTAGCACCCTTCAGAGTTCTGCTCTGACACACAGATGTCCCCAGGATTTGGAATAGACTGAATGGCAGCTAGTTTACTAGGTGGAGGGACAGCTCAAGAGAGGAAGACCCTTGATGAGATGGATGAATTCAGTGACTGGGGTAATGGGGGTAGGTGTGTGTCAGGGACAATAAGATTGGCACAGGACAGAGCAGGGTTAGGGGCTGTTGTACATAGGGTCACTATGCGTTGCAGGCGACTCGATGGCACTTAACAACAGCAACAACAACTCACATGAGCACCACTCTGCTTTTCTTTTTCTTATCCAATTCTAATTTGTTGAACAAAATCATAGACTTCTCTCTTATCTGAGCCTCCATCCTGAGAGAGACGGTCCATCTCTGAGTTCCCAAAACCCCAGATAGGCTTCTAAGAGACTTCACATCCCTCACTCTAAACTTCTGGAGGGCAGGGTCTTTCATTTATCATTTCTCTACTCTGCCTGTTGAATAAATAAATGAAAAGAAATTCATAATTACAGTTATTCTACATGTAAAATTGAACCCTAACTGTGAAGTGGGAGCTCTGGTGGCCTAGTGGTAGGAATCTTTCCTGCAATACCGAAGGCACACAGGTTGAGCCCACCAGATGCTCTGAGGGAGAAAGATAAGCAACCTCCACCCATGTGATTAAGTGCCTCTGAAAACACAATGGAGGATCAGCTATGTCTTGATTCTGATTCAACAACTGTAATGTTATAAAATTTAGTTAACTTTGGAACTTTTAAAAATATTTGAAAAGTATGTGATTTAAAGGATGAAAAACACTTGGATTTAGCATAAGAAAGCTAAGTCCCAACACCACAAGCTAACTGTTACCTTTGCTAAGACCACCAGTCTCTCTGAGTCTCAGCTCTGAGTCAATAAACAGAAGGCAATGTATTACCCGTAGGGTTCGGCTGGGGACCCAGGGAGAAGAGTCCAAGGATAGATATATCCAGCTGGTGAATTGTCCTATTTAAGTGAGAAGGTATGCTGGTGGCTTAGTGACAAATTGTGCTGCCAACCCAAAGGATTGTGGTTTGAATCCACCAGCTGCTTCATGGAAAGATGAGTAGTCTCTTTCCAAGTGATAGATTACCTCTGAAAACTCACTGGTACATAATAACAATAGCAATGCAAGCAAGAAGGGTTCTTATCCTGTACATATTTGCAGTCCCCTTTAAGGAATATTTATAGAACACCAATAATTTGTCAGGTCTCTGTTTAATTAGGTGGAATTATGTAAATGACAAGATAAAAGTAGAAAGGTGGTTCATCCTGAGCTTTCCTCCATATGCTGATGGTGAACGTGAGACCTGATCTAAGTAGAAGAGAGTGTGGTAACATCTGCTGATAACCTGAACTCTTAATTCCTTTTGAAGTAGTAATTTCACTTCATTCATTCAAAGACAATGGCTTATGAAAGTGGGAAGAAAAGCAAGTATGATGTTCAAAGATAGTCCGTAGAGTTGTGTTTGTTGTATTTAGATTGAAAATGAAATATGTTGTCAGTGAGCGACTACCATGTCCTTTTGTGAGTTCTGTGTAAAATAAAGCTCTGACTTCCTGGAGAAAATGCTTAAGTTGGTGGATTTGAACTGCTAGCCCTTTGGTTAGTTGCACATACAACACACATAACACGAGGAATTTTATCTGCCTCAATTAAGGGTTTTTTCCCTATGCAGACTTCACGTTGAACCCAGTGGAAACTACCAAGAGGGACAAATAGTCATTTCTGTGTGTCTTCAGGCCTGAAGGGCCTTCCAGCACTTGTCTTCAGTGTTCTTGGGGGCCCTGTGATACCCCATGAGACACAGAGCTGCCACAGCCACCCAGCAGGCAGGTCATGGGAATCTGTCCTCGTCTCTAGCTAACCAAAGATCTCCCATGAAATCTTGTGTTCTCTTTTATTGCCTGTCTCAGCTTCAGAAAAGATCTATTTTCTCTTATTATTATTTCCTCAGATTGCTGTAGTTCAGAACAACAGAATATTTGTCAAATGCATTGTGAGTTTTCTCCTCTGCAGTTTTTCTGCTAGATAATTCAATACAAGGCCATGCTCCTTCTGTTAAGGGGTAGGAGAGTAAGAAGAAAATAAAGCCAGCTGCTCTGAGGCATCCACCCTGGGGTGTGGTCACTTTTTTTGAAGACCACCTGCTGTTTCTTATCTAATTTGAACCTCCATGTTCCCCAGATCAGAAATAAATCTTGCCATAAAAAGCCAAGGGTGTTTTGTCCAGGTGTTTGAGAGGAAATCTTGTCCCCAGCAAAATTCTTCATGGGAGTTTGTCAGCCATTTCACTAAGGATGCTGCTGACTACCTCTGGTTTTTGCTTCTCTTTCGAAGTTTATTTTATGTTTTGTTGTGGTTTTCAGATTTCTCATGGTTTGGATTTGGGAAAGTAAAATCAAGACAAGGTGTTGGTAAGTAGTTACTCTTTCTTTGGATAACTCCTGCATTCATGTCATTTAATTAGGATGAAATTGCTAAGGCTCTTCTCCAAAGTCATCAATACTTGATTCGTGTTTTTGTGTTCCTGGTTTCTGATTTGTTGAAAACAAAGAATTAGAATATTCTAGAAAAAAGGGCATTATACTTTCTAATTGGGTTTAGTAAGCTGACATTTTATAAAATGAGCTTGCTTTATCTTAGGATGGGTCAACCGCAGTTTACTTTGTTTGTGATGCTTTATTTCAAGAGGGTTAAAGAACTAGACTGTAACTATGTTACAACTACACGTAAAACAAATAGTTGTCTAAATATTCAAGCCTGGGCTAGTTTGGTTCCTAATGTTCTTCTTTTGCCAACATGCAGTGGTGCATCAGCTGTTTAATTACGACTATTCACCAACTTCCCAAACAGACTCCCACATCCAGATGCTGTGATTCACACTGGATGACATTCTACTCCCTGCATTGCGGCTGCATGGGGCCATCTGCAGGACAGGGATCAGAGCTGAGCTCACTAAGTGAGCCCAGGTGTTTTTGCTCTGCACTAGGATTGAAATCAGGTGATTACCCAGGACCTGCAATTTGTTTAGTGTTTTCAGTGGGTGTAGAAACAATGATCAGGATTGGTTAAGAGGCTTGAAAAGACAGGCTGTCTCACATCATCTATATGCTTTGTTGGGACTGGCCATAATTGATTAGTATCTATTTCAATAGCAAGGCTACATAGAGGTAGAAGTGCAAAGGAGGGTTGTATATCACTGTCTTTGAGTCCCCTATTCTGAATAATTCACCTCATACTTGTTACCAAACCCCTCCATCCATATAAAGAATCTTATTTCCTGGCATCAAATTCATTCCTGTTGGATAGACTCTGTCAGCATCTGTTCCACCTGAATGCTTGCCATTGAATTGACTGACTTGTGCAGCCCCATGGATCAGAGAACTGTACTTCATACAATTTTCAAGAATTGATTTTTTTTTTAGTGAACATGACCTTTCCTTTATTTTTCTTTTCTTTTAAATGTATTTATTTATTTATTTATTTATTTATTTTTCATGTCAATGAACATCTACAGAGATTTTGGAATTCCATTCATTCCTTGTTTTTTAAGAAATACATCACGAAGTTCTTTCTTCTGAGGTACCACTGGTAACAGCTGAGTTGTGTGCACTACCCAGGGATGCTTGGAAGTACTCAATGACTCTGAAATGATGAGCTTACTGTGCACAGGCAGGACAGGCTGAGGCAGTGAGTGGGGCAGGGTCTCAGAGGCCTCCTAACCTTGAACTACTGTTGCGGATTCCAAGCTAAAGATCTCTAACCAGCAAAGGGAACGTGGAGATTCAGGAAAGTAGGAACATTTGGGTTTCACTGGCTTGAGTTTTCTTTTGGGCAGTTCCCAGAGTCTAGTTTTAGCAGAAGCTGATCAATCACTTTGCAGGAAGTTTGGAGGTTGTCCTGTGACTAACTGTCCAGGGACAGCGCTGTGAGATAGGAGTCTCCCTCCACCAAACACCACATGTAACCCCTCATGTACTTCTCAGGCCAGATTACATTGCAGAAAGACTTCTTTTGCTGGAAAATTTCAAAAGTGGCCACAGCTGAAAGAGATTTCCTTCTAGTTTGTTCTTCTGATGCATCTCAGGACTTTCCAGGAACAAGAACCACTCCTTTCCCCTTGGAGATAAAAGTCTTTTCTTAGATGCTTACTGTAAACAGATCAGCCTACCTTAAGCGTAAAAATGTTTCCATATCTTATGTGTAAAATATGGCACCAAGTGACTTGATGAAAGAACAATGCCTCTTTACATCAGAGACGTAAACCAAAAAATGAAATCCCTCAGCTGCTCTCTAGACAGTGGTGGGCCCATGGGCAGAGTAGGGTTCCTGAGGCAAGAAATCTTTGCAGAAGCAGACATCTCCACTTTCTCCTGCAAAGTAGAAGAGTAGATTTGAACTGTCACTATGCCACCAGGGATTGTCTTGATCTCTTTCTTCCTTCCCTCCTGCCTCCCTCCCACTCTCCCTTCTACTTTCCTTCCTTCCTTCCTTCCTTCCTTCCTTCCTCCCTCCCTCCCCCCTCCTTTCCTCTCCCTCCCTCCCTCCCTCCTTCCCTTCCTTCCTTCCTTCCTCCCTCCCTTCCTTCCTTCCCTCTTTCTCTCTCCCTGTCCTCCCTTTTCTCCTTCCCTTCCTCCCTCTCTCCCTTGTCTCCTGCTTTCCCTCCCTCCCCTCCTCTCATTCTCTTCAAGTTGAGACAGATAACAGAAATACATTAAGATAAAAATTGCTAAAAACATTACCAGTAGTAACTCATGTTGTTCAGCTCAGCAATTAGAACTATTATCTCTATTGTAGGTATGTATGTCCCTGGCAATTTAAAGCTTTCTAATAATATTATAATGTGTTTTTTCAAGTCCTCTTCTGAACTCCTCAACACACACTAGGTTCTGCCCTTGACTCTTCTTCTGTCTTCATGTGTCTGCTCAAATGCAGCACAGGCACACAAAGATGCTTTTGTGATAGGTGCAGACAGGCTGCTGTCAAATTATATAGACATTCATTGTCCCCACCGAGAGTGTTTCCTCCTTCCCAACTTTACTGTGTTCTGTATTTCATTACTGCAAAATGTTTATAGAAAAATGGGCTTAATCTCTACCACTCTACGAGTCTTATCAATCTTCCAGGATCCATCCATAATGAAGGAAACAAGCTCTTGGATTAATATGTCACTTGATAAATTGTTGAGGCTTATGTGTTGTTCAAATTTGTCAACAGCGGCTTTCTAGCAAAAGGAAAAGATGTTTGAAAAATTACCTCTAGCACTTTAAACCACTGCTCCGCTTCAGCATTTCCCCCATCTGTACAGTGGTTTGTTCCCTCAGATATGATACATTAGGTGAGGCTTGTCTTTCGGGAGGCCAAGGGAAGAAGAGATTTTGCTTTGGAAGTGAAATGAAGAGTAAGCTCCTTGGTTGAATTCTCTAAAAGGAAGTTCAACTGTGGAAATGGTTGACCATTCCAATATTGAATTCCTGGGAGTCTCTCAATATTCCCCTAGGTATCACCAGCCTCAGAAATGATCAGGAATGATGGAGTGCTGTTTGATGTGAACAGTGTGTGACCTGGGCCAGAGCAGAGCCAGAGCTATTGCTGGCCTTTCATCAGAGTGGGGAGCATTAGAAAACCACAGGTTTTGTTGGGGGGTAGGAGGAGATGAAGAGGATGCCTTCTGGAATCTTCTGAGAAAAGTGTGGCCCTGATGGTAGTTCTGCTTGGGGAGTTAAGCCCGCTTTTGTAAGCTGGCATGAAGGACAGCTGTGCCAGGAGGCACCCAGGGACTTCGCTGCAGTGGGAAACTTTTAATGACAAGACACCAAAATCATGCCATAAAACATTTCCATTTTCCGTCACTGACTAGATCTGGGTTTAGGTTTGTTACAAAGCAGATCATAGACTAGACCTGGCAAGGGCTATGCAGAGCACCTTTCCTGTTGGCAGGAGTTGTGCTCTTTATTGACACCAATGAGCAAGGCCCAAGGGGCCCTCAACTGGTGGACTGTCTTCACTTTGTGTGCACCCTGGTTTTGAAATTACTTGTGTGAAGCCTCTTTGCAGAATAATGTCACAGTGTATCATTAAAGGTAACTAACTGCACATCTCCTTGAGAGAATGTTTCTTACAATCACCTTTAATAGCACTTGACTGCCTCCTGCATAGAGTGTCTAAGATACAACTAGTCAAGGCTTGTCTAACTGGTGTTACCACAAAGTTGTTAGGTGCTGTCTAGTCAACTAGCACTCGTAGAAACCCTGGGAGCAATAGATCTGAACCTTTTCATATGCTGTTCTGTCCTCACTGCCGTGGATATGCTTGAACCTATTGTTACAGTCACCATGTCAGTCCATCTTGTTGTGGGTTTTCATCTCTGGGACTCTCCACCTTTCCCAGCATGATGTCCTTTTCTAGGGACTGATACTTCCTGACAATATTCTCAGCTTACAGAAAATGAAGTTTCACTATCCTTGCTTCTTAGGAACATCCTGGCTGCTCTTCCTCTAAGACAGACTTGTTTGTTCTCTTGCCAGTCTATGGTGTATTCTCCAACTCTACAATTCAAAGATACTGATTTTTCCCCCCTGTCATCTTTATTACTTAAACTGTGATGATCTCCATAAAAACCAGTTCTGATTAGTGGTGATCGAGTGGGTATTAGAGTGTAGTGGTACTCCACAGGACTTGAAATCTAGGACTTTCTTCTGAGACACCAGTGGGTGGCCTTAAATCTTCAACTTTCAGTCAACACCTGAGCCTGTTGACTGTTTGTATCATCATGTTCTGTAATTCTCTATGAAGAAAAAAATTGATCTTGAGACTTGAGTGAGATGGTACTTTTCACAGATGTTTCAGAAATGTATGACATTGCAATTTTGAGTTAAGAATTGGCTCAGTGTGAGGGTCAAGCACATGAAAGGAGATGCTGAAACATGTATGCTGAAGAGTTTGATGGAGATACATTTTTTGCTAAAATAAAATAAAACAAAATAAAATGAAGTGAAATAAAATAAAAACCCCAAACACAAACCATTGCAGGTTGTCCTGCTAAATAAAAGGCATCAGATTCCAAGGTTCTATTGGCTTGAGTCTGCCAGTTGCCTCTCAGAAGGGAGATAGAAGATCTTCTCTTATTAAGATTTAGCACCTCAGATACCCAATGGAAGGTGTTTTTGAGTAGGAACCAACTCCAGTACTGTGAGTGTGAGCTTTGAGTGCTGTTGAGTTAATTCGGACTCACAGTATATCCTATAGGACAGAACAGAAATGTGTCATAGGGTTTCTGAGGTTGTAAATCTATGGAAACAGAACGGTTTCATTTCTCTCCTTAGAAAGGCTAGCATTCTGATTAGCAGGAGTAGAAGTTCAGCCTAATTCTTTCTTAGTCTGCACTCAGCTTAGCTCTTATTTTGATTCTGCTTACTTACCAATCTCTCTTTTGTCTTTCCCTCCTTATCTTAATCTCCTTCCTGTCTTCTTCCAGTACCTGCTGACAGAAGACTTCTTCAATAGAACCTGGTGTCCATTAACTGTTGTTGCTGTTAGGTACCATCCAATTGTTTAAAATTCTAACTTGAAACAATCCTGATGGGCTGATTAGGAAGGATTAACCCTTTGTCTGTGGCAATAGACTCAGGTGTGTCTTGGATGATAAGGATGTCTCAGGATAGGACAGAGTTCAACTCTGTCTTTCATAGGATGGCTATGAGTTGTCCTGGACCTGAGGACACTTATCAACAACATACACAACAGAACAAATGTTGCCCAACCCTACCATTCTCATAGCTTTTACTATGTTTGAGTCCACTGTTGCAGTGACTGTGTCAGTCCATCTCACTGAGGACCTTTCTCTTTTTTCATTGGCCCTCTATTTTATGAAGCATGATGTCCCCTTCCCAGGACATGTTGCCTCCTGACAACGTGTCTACAGTTCATGAGGCAAAGCCTCATCATCTTTGCTTCCAAAGAGAATTCTGATTATACTACTTCCAAGATAGATTTGTTCATTATTTTGTCAATCCATAATATAGTTAATCTTTCTCATTCATCCAAAGGTGCCAATTCTTCAATCTTCCTTATTGACTAGCTTTCACACATATATCAGATAATTGAAACTATCATGGCTTGGGCAGGGTTCCTTGTGTCCTCAAATAGATATCTTTGTTTTGAATACTTTATAGAAGTCTTTTGAATCATAATTATTTGCCTAATTCAGTACACTGTTTGATTCTTGATTGCTATTTCAATGGATGTAGATTGTAGATTCAAGTATAATAAAATCCTTGAAAATTTCCAGAACTTTTCTCTGTTCTTTCTGTTTATCATGATGTTATTTACGGTCTAGTTGTAAGAATTTTCTCTATGCTGACATATAATGCATACTGAAGGCGTTAGTCTTTGTTGTTATTGATTGCCTTCAAGTCAAGTATGACTCATAGCGACCCTATGAACAGAAGGCCTGAAGCCTTTCTATAACTATCAACTTTTATGAAAGTTCATAGAGTTTCTGGAGGCATATTGTTTAGGAAGTGGATGTCACTCTATGCATCAGGAAGTACATTAAGACCTGTTTGCTTTTAGCAAGCGAGGGTGTGATATCTGACTATTAGATTATTAATGAGTCTTTCTCCAATCTTGATACACTTTCTATATGCTTTTCTATGTTTCAGAAAATGTGAGGTACATACATTTAGGGGTTTTGTCTCCCTGCTATGCATGAAGTGACTACCATCAGCTATCAGGATCTTAATTATCTTGAAATTTTAGCATAAATATTTATGTTTCTAGATACACTATTGTTTATAAATCGTGTGAATTTAGTGTTTAATGAATGAAATGTTTAGATAAAGTGCAGTAGACAATATGTAAAGGCAATAAGTGAAGTTAGCATGTGCTCACGCCATCAACAAAACAGGTGCCCAAAAGCAGTGACCCATAGATGCCACACAGACCAGACACATTGAAAAGCGAGAATCACAGGGGAAGGGAACTAGCAGGACTTTGAAATGTATACTCTCCAGGGCTAAGAATGTGCAGGCCGGAAGCTAAAGTCTGTGCAGAGTCATGCGGTGTCCACACTCAAGGTTGTTTAGCTTACAAAGCCTCTATGTCTTTAACAATTTGCTGCTATCTGTCCCCTAAGTTCTCCTCACATGTAATTAAAACTCCTTTCCTTACTCAGTGGCTCTCTTGGACAGTTGATCAGAACTCTTTTTAAAAAAATACAGTATAATACTTGATTATAATATTTGTTTTCTGATTATTAAGGTTTGGGACATATCTTCTTTTGCATTATTAATATTTTATAAAACAAGTATAAAAATAAAGTATGAGCTGTTCAAAGTAAAGTAGAATTTTACAGTGATTGTTGAAACAGCTAGGTTCATTGATTCATCTCCTTTGTTATAGAATATACAGACTATTGTTGTTCCAGAAAATATAAATAGTAATCTTTGGACTTTGCATCATTAAAAATTATAATTTAGTCAATCTCATTCTGCTAAAATAATATATGCCACTTTCCATTCAATTACCCTGTAGGAGCTCTGGTGGTTAGTGGACAAAGAGTTTCAGTGTCAATCCAAAGGCAAGTGACTCGAATCTACCAGCTACTCCACAGAAGGAAGATGGGCACTCTTCTCCCTTTCCTGTGATTGTGACCTCTAAAAACCCACTGGAGGGTCAGCTATGAGTCAGGTCTAACTTGACAACAATGAGTTGGGTTGAGCTCATTGTCATTTTTAGATAGAAGTTACATCAAGGATAACTAGGAGACAAATGTGTGTATGTACGTATAGAACTCATATCACATTTGAATGTTTGAGTAAGCAGAGAAGCAATTTAATAACAAATTGTTAGTTATTAGGACCCTCACATGCCTTAATCTGACCATAATTGTACAGATCCCTGTGTATACACAGCTGAATATCTAAGCTGCAAACTGCTGTTAAAAATGAATGAATAAAAATCCAACTTTTCTGTAACTTTCATTAAAATCACAATTAAAAAAGAGTAAAATATGCTTTGTTTATCGTTCTACTATAAAGACATCCTGTAAAGATTCTATAGATGGTATTATGGCTAACTGATAATGGCACATCAGGGAATTTTGCTTTGATAGGGCTGATTTTTCATTCCATTGTCATTATGAAAGCATTTTGTAAGCAAAAGTGATGTTGGCACTCACAGAATATAAAATAAGAAGGATTTCTGGTCCACTGATCCACTGATTTAAGTTCATTTAAGAATATTTGGTAATGACTCATATTTTTAAAGTCTATTTAAATTTCTAATGCATTTTAATAACACTGGCCTCATTTCTAGCTCATCAATAAAAGCAGATATTGTTTTGCACACTTTAGAGTGTAAATGAATGTAGAGGTTGGAATATGGTGAGTTGACCAGAATAGGGAAAAGAACTAAAATATTCTGATTTTTAATATATCTTCTGGTGAAACAGGAATTCTAGAATTGTGCTGTGAGTTTTAGTGATGGCATGCTGTAAAGGCATCCAGAGAACAGAGAGGAAGGGTGCATATAAAATTACAGGGGAAGGATGTAGAGAAATTGGAAGTCTCGTACACTGCTGATGGGAATATAAAATGGCTCAGACACTTTGGAAAACAGTTGGCAGTTCCTCAACAAGTTATATATAGAGCTACCATATGACTCAGAAATTCCACCCAAGAGAAATGCATTTTTTTAGAGAACTGAAATTTTAATGTCCGCACAGAAACATGTATGTGAATATTACAATGTTTCTAACTCACACTCCTTGCTATCAAGTTGATCTTGACTCATAGTGACCCCATAGACACAGTAGAATTGCCTCACAGTTTTTCCAAAACTGAAATAGTTTTAATTTCATGTTTATAACAGACTGCCAGATCTATCACCTGTGGAGTGGCTGGGTTTGAACTGTTGACCTTTCAGGGGTGGTTGTTGTTATGTGTCATTAAGTCATTTGGGATGGCAGCATGACTCCTTAACCATTAGGACACCAGAACTCCCTCTGTCTTGTGATTGATTGTTGTTGAATACCATCAAATTGGAACTGACCCATAGCTGACCCTCCAGTAGGTTTTCAGAGGCAGTTTAATCTCACAGGAGATTACCCATATTCTCCCCATGGTGGATTCAAAGCAAATGCCTTCAGGATGGCAGTGAAACTTTTTACCACTAGGCCACCAGAGCCTGCAACTTTAATCATCAGGACTGCTAAATGAGGTGATGAGAATCTTCTAAAGCCAGATTGTGAAGATGGCTATGCAATTCTATGAATATACTAAACTCTGTTGTTGTTGTTGATGGGTGAATTTTATGTACGTGAATTATAAGTCAATGAAAAGTATTTAAAAATTACAGCAGGAGATACAGAAATATATATACATGTTTGTTGGTTTTTGTTTTTTTCCCCCCAAACTCCAGGCCCAGCCTCAGTTATCAGCAATGATGACGATTCAGCCAGCCCACTTCACCACATCTCCAATGGGAGTAACACTCCATCTTCTTCAGAGGGCGGCCCCGATGCTGTCATTATTGGAATGACCAAGATCCCTGTCATCGAAAACCCACAATATTTTGGCATCACTAACAGTCAGCTCAAGCCAGACACATGTAAGTACAGCTGTTTATACTTACTGGTCCATTTGCTGCATAGTTGTATCAACCAGTGTGTTTATCAGAGTCCCTGAAAAACTAGACTAGAAGGAGGTGAAAAAGTCTGAGGATCCCTGGGACTTTTGGCCCCTTGAGTAGATTCTTTAGTTTGTTGTTTATGGAATTTTTAGGGCATGTCCCCGGCTGGGATTGCAACTATGGGCAGAGACTGAGTTCTCTTGGGATTCATTTCCCCAAACCATTTGTCAACAAGAAATTGGAGTCAAGACATGCTTATCTTGGAAAAAAATGGAGACAAAACCTGGGAGTATCAGTAGAATGCATGAATGCACATACATCATTTATAGAACACAGGAAATGGATGTGATTTTAATTTGATTTGTTGAAAATAATTAAAGATATATGATAGGTAGTCATAGGGCGGTGTGCTATAGACAGATTCTCAGTCTGGGTGGTTATGTATTCCCTCTTTGGTTCCTGGCCTGAGGCCTTGTTGTGATGCCACAATGATAAAAAAAACATGGCAAAAGATGATAAGTGGCCTGGTATATTTTGCAGAAACAAATAAACCCCTTAACTTCTCTTTGAAATAATTGATTTTAGAAGCTTGGGAATTTTGTCAAAGCCCTTCACCCTATCTTGTGAGTCAATGCTTACATATTAAAAACAAAGCAAGGCTTTGAACGAAGCAAAAGATAAAACCACAATAGATGAACTAGCATGTGTCATTGGAACTTCATGCCTTTCCTGATATGTGAAAAAGAACCATGAGGGGTCACACAGCAGGTGGCCTAGATCCCATGAGTCTCTGGCACTGATGAATGGGAACTGTCTATTTGCATGTTGCAGGCAAATGTACTACGTTCCTGCTCTATATTAGAAATAAGGAATAACTATTACGAGGTTAGTTGTCAGATACTGACTTCCCACTGAGAATCTCCATGAGCCATGCAACTCTGCAGAGCTCAGCTTAGGATCTGTATTTATATAAAATAAATACCCCAAATTTTCTCCTGTTTGAAAGAAATGGTGCCTATCAACAAGGAAAATAAAAACACAAACTAAAGAAACCAACAAGCCATTACTACTCGTTAATTCTAATTCTTAGCAAGCCTATAGTAAAAATGAAATTGCACTGTAGAGTTTCCAGGGTTTAATTGTCAATGAAGTAGACTTCAATATCTTTCTTTCATTGTGGGTTTGAACTTCTGACCTTTGAGTATGCAGTGGGACATTTAACTATTGCTTTTCTAGGATTGCTTTTCAATAGGAAAACAAATGTTGAAATTTGCAATGAGTGAGACTAGATTTCATATAGCTTTCAGCTGAAAATGCAGTATGACAAAACAAATCAAATAACATATGAAGAACATGGATATTTTTAAAATAAACAATATTATTTAAAATCAAGGTATCCTTGAACTTATATTTTCATTATGCTATAGATGAGATGAGTTGAGTCATTGTTGTAATTGGGCATCATTTGGTGAGCTAAGAACCTTCAAAAATTCTTGAAATTCCTGCAAGTATTAGATATAACAATCAATATTAAATAAGGCAAGACAAAGTAAAACCCAATGTTTGGGACTCTGTTCTTATTTTTCTTGCTCTCACTGTGACCATATTACCTGGACCCTTCATCAGCAGCAATATCATACCCCATGGTGTTCTTCAGGGAGCTCTGGTGGTGTTGTCCACAGAGACCTGCACCCATCTGACTGAATCCACAGTGGCTCAACAGGAGAAAGATGGACCATCTTCCATGTGATTTACAGTCTCAGAAACCTAATAAAGGGTCAATTGTAAGTGAGTTCTGACTTGATGGCAATCAGGGAAAGACAGAGAGACGTATGATTGTTGTTCAGTAAACCATATTACAACTGGAACTGAGGACAGGAAGTCAACTTGCTCTCAAAAAGCTTGCTTTTCTTTGTGGATGGAGAGAAAAAGAAAGCTGAACAATCAAGTAGATACAATCAGGTCGCCATACCAGTCAGAGAAAATAAACAAATGAGCATGAAAGCAAACAAACAATAAAACAAAAACCAATCGGAGTCTGTAGATAGAAGTGGAATGGATGCTGGCTGTCAAGTCAGTTTTTCTATTTCGTTGGTCTTTTTTTGCTATTAGAAATCCTAAAAGGGTTCCCGAAGGTTGTCTCCTCAATATAAAGTCCACAGAGACTTTTATCAAAATGTTGGATGGGATATTTAGGTTACTTTTTTACTTGTGAGTATTCTGTGTCAGCCTATTTTAGATTAAGAGAAAAGGAGACCTACAACCTCATCTGAGTTTCTGGCCTATACATGAAGGTTCCAAACTGTATTTCTCATTCTGTTACTCTCTCTGTATAAAATCTTCCTGGGCCCATGACTTAATCATCCTTACCTGGTTCATTGTGCTCAGTCACGTCAGGTCTTATACCAGGAAAAAATTTGCTCTTTCTTTCAGGCACCAAACAATTTACTCTTCTAGAATTATAAGGACACTTATAATCACACATCTTCCATGAATCTTTCCGAAGATGAGTGCAAAGAAACAATTTACCTCTTTCTTCTCCTTTCTTAAATGTCATCCTTTGCCCTGTAATTTTTCCTTTACCTTCAATCTATCTATCTGATGTTCAGTGGTGAGGATGACCACTATTGCATGTATGCTTCTGTAGTCTTGTTTAAGTTAGACTGTAAGCTCCTGGATAACAGAACTGAATCTGTTTCTCCGTAGGATGAGGTACTTTGAGTATTAACCAGATGTCAATCAGATATAGCTCTTTATTCTTGAAATATTAATCACTGTCAGACTTTTAGTAAGTAAAGACAAAACATAAATGTTTCAATTTGCTTTATTCATAGAAAATTTTCCTATATATTAATTTAGTTATTGAACATATTTTTACAATGTACTAGCTAATTTAAATAGACTTAGATAAAAAATAAGAGGTATATTTAAAACAATACATCCTTTATTTGAATAGTCCTATTGCAAACATTCAGAAATTAAAGTATTTCAGAATATACAGATTTATTGTGTAGGGGCATGTAACTCTGGGAGCTTAGATTTCAGGAAAGGGATTCCCATTCAATATGGGTCTTTTGTTTGTTTGTTTATTTTTATAAAAATGAAAGTAACAAAGATTCTTGTAAGAAGTTAGGTTTCTTATAAAAAAGAAGATGACAGAGAAAGAGTTTATTCTTTATTTATTTATCAAAGCAAAATATCACATAAACACTATTCTACCATTCTTCTAGATATAGCAAAAATTTGGACCGTGTGCTCACAAGATACTTCTTTACCCTGAAGCATGCTTTTCAAAGACGTGAACTTCAGAAAAATGTGTCTTCTTACAGAGTGATCTCAGTGTCATGTTACTGTTTGTAAGAATCTATCAGAGAAAGTGAAATCTAATTCAATAAACACCTAAAGATTAATAAAGTTAATAAAGATTAACTACATTATGAAAACAATGGAAGGAATAGGAGATTCATTGCCAAAGAATATTGTTGGGGAGAAAGATATATTGTATAATCACAGTGTAATGATATATGTACCCTAATAGAATAGGGTAGAGAAAGTATCTTAAATCTTGATAATTAATAAAGATAAAGTAGGTCAAGATATGAAAAAGCCTGAGACAGAAAGACAAGATAGAGACCTGATGACCATGCTGGGAACTGGTAGACTTGGTATTGCTATATAAACTCTTCAAATTTTTAAGTGCTGAGTGGGATAAATGCAGCAAATCAGCATGAGTCAGATTTTATGCACATAATCACCTATTTCTGATGCTTGAGTTATACCTTATAGGTCATTTAAAACAACCACCACCTTATTTTATAGATGGGGCTCAGAAGTGGTTTGTGTGAAGCAATGGAACCTCAGTAATTTGATGGCTTTGCTTTAGAAAAAAATTATAAACAAAACAAACTACCATTAAACTAGATTCCTTTAAGCAGTGTGTAAGATGGGGAGCTGAATTAAAGATAATAAGATAATGATAAAATGTAACCCCTGACGTGCTTTTCACTATCAGAAACTATGCAAGGTGTTCATAGACAAAGTCTAGAAATTGTTTACAGGTTTTAGAGCTGTCTGATCAGGGCTGAATTGCTCCCGAGCACTTTCCAATAGCAAGTTTGTCTACTTTATTGCAGGGCCCAGAGGTTCCCCCAAGACCGCCTGATAATTATTTGGTATTTGGAGGCTCCTGTGTCACTGCAGGAACTAAAGGAGGCTAAATCCATGCCTGATGGAGGAGAAGAGTTCTATGGTTATCTGCAAATTCTGGCCCGACAACATCTTGACGTCACTCCTTAGCTTCCATAACCTAGCCAAGCAAGAAGTTACCTTCCAAAGACAAAGCTATGTGCTCTAATGACTAACCCCTCCATGTTCTGTGCCACATTAACTATAGACCCATCTCCTCGATCAATCAGGATGACGAGATGGAGCTGATGAGGTCAGCAACATCCTATCTGGAGTTGGTCTTTAATTCAACTAGTATATTAGACATGTCTGAAAACCACACCATCTGACTGCACAGGCTGGTTTCCAAGTAGGATTCACAAGCTTTTCTCAAGGGCTGCTGTGCTGTAACCTTCTCCTTGACTTCTGAGAAAGTTTCTGGCAGGGTCCAATGGAAACACACCTTGTGAGCTGAAATAAAGAACAAAACTAACCAGCAACATGCCCAGATTGTCAATTTTGGATTATATTGAATGGTGGGGATGTGTTATATCTTCCTGAACAAAAGCTAATGCCATAAACTTAATTATGTCTCTAAAATTGTGTTGTTCCTAGAGCAGCCTTGTAAATTAGCTAGAGTCCTAGAACTGGAAGCTGAATCAAACTAGAGTTGTCTCTGAATGTGTGCCTGTGTATGCTTCTTTTTGCACAGCATGCCCTCTATGTATACGTTGGTTAGTAATTCCTTGTGGAGATACATATAAAGAATTCTGATTTTCCCCACTTAGAGTCCAAATCCAGAGTGTGCCATACTT